GGGGGGGCTATAAGTTTGCTCCTTCCAGGGGCGTTTCTAGGATATTTGAAAGAGGGGGCGTAGAACATAAAAAACATCAAATAATTGTGAAATGCACTAATGTAACGGTTCCTGACTTGGAGCATGTATATTTTATATAACGATATTTATTTATTTATTTTTTTTTTGAAAAGGGGGGGTGCGTATGCCCATTACGCCATCACCTGGACCTGCACCTGCCTTCAGACATCTGTTCTAATAACTATACCTAAGTTAAATGTACAGTTCACCTGTGAATACTATGCGCTAGGTTTCTAGCGTACCGGAGATAATCGTGACAAACGCTAATTGACTCTGATGACTGTGGGCAGACAAACATCTCGACTAATTAACATTCCATCTCTTTCATATTTCATTAATGACGGTATGTTAAAATGTACCGAAATCTATTCATAATGAGTGTGAAAATGGTATGTCGCTACTTGTAGGCTAGAAAATCAATACGTACATAAGGCCCAGTGTCAAATCAAACCTTAACTATACACGCACGTTCATTTTCTATGAATTTTTCGCCATTTGCATTTCAGTCGGTGAAATAAAGTTGATGTTTATTTAATGACGTAACATACATGTACTCACTGATGTTGAAAAAGAGACTAGCATCATTTCAACTGATACCTGTATTTTGCGAATGTCGTTAATACTTTTGCTTTACATTAGCTTCCTCAGGTCGCTGCCGTGTAGTTTTGACAGAAGAATGTGTTACCTGTACGATCGTTGTTATCTGTGTCTCGTAGAATAGTTTATTGATGGAGTTGAGATTCCAAGTATTGATGTCAGAAGGGAAACCTTGGAGAATTCATATAGCCTCTTACAGTCAGCCATTAGTTTTAGAATCATTCAGCATAGTGTTTAGTAAGACGAAACCTTTTAGTTCAATTTTTACATGATTGTATAATGCAGTATTTCTATTTTGAAGGACTCTGTAAATATTAAAAGTTCAGTACTTTATGTCCTCTTCCATCATGTTTGCTGACAGCACAACTGAAGCACAACTGACTGTCGATCCATATACCGTAGTTGATGTTATACGATTGCTAAAGTGCCAGACATGGGTAAATGACGAGATGGGGTGCCATTATTGAGACTTCGATGTTGAATTTCCCATAAATTAAGTGATATATCATTCTGATAAGATCACAGTTTTAGCAGACATTCGGTATGGACTGATACATCATCATTTTAATGACAGAAAAGGTCTTACTGATAAGACCAGCCAGACACCTTTGGGAATTATCTGAGTTTGGAATTGAACGGTAAAAATTCAAGTTACTATAAAAGGGAAGTTTTTCGCGGTGAGGGAATGTTCACATTTTTTCAATGAGTGAAAAAGCAGGAAAATGAAAATATCCACACATGAATATTTGTGTAGAATTATAGAGAAATAGAAATATAAATTTCCAAAATATTCCCAACATGGAATTTTTTACAATGCGATCAAGTTAAGGAGTCACAAATTTAACATTTCCACTTTTAGAGGATATCCTTGAAATCACAAGGGGTGTTCTTATTATAGCAGGCACCCTTTTTACTTTAAATACGGTATATTCTTGCTTTGTTTGTTCACTCGTTACTCCTCTAGGTTATCCCTTGACAACCATGTGTACACCATTTAGAATGCCTCGACCAATTTTCTATGTTCATTTAACTTTTAGATTTAGTTGAGTTGTTCCAAGTGGCTTGAACAGGGTGGGCCAATAGAAAATCTAGAGGAGTAACAAATGAATCAATTAACAAATTACTTGTCTCTAAGAACCATATAGCTTTCAGTGCTTTTAATGTTTAAAAAATTAATGACTTGCAGCCTTTGTAATACGCAACTATTTCTATTTCATGTTGTCAAGCTAAAGAGACAGAAATTAGGAGTTGATGAGTTTCAGTTCTGTCTAGCAAAGCAATTACCTCATTTTAATTGTATGTATTTTTGCTTAGGAAAATAAGGCAGAAATGGCTTGGGAAATCATTTAGTGGGAAGCATCATTTATTGTAGTCGGTGGGGAAATGTTATATGGTTTTGACAGAGTTGCTTCAAGAACAATTTTAATATTGAATATCAAAACCAAAAGGCCTTTCTGTTTACCATGTCACATACAGACAAATTGACAATCAGTAAATGATTTCGTAACACCACGGAATTCATTCTTGCTGGGAATTAAAATCTGTGTACAGGTCTTCTTTAATGCTTTGTAAACTTAATTATTCATTTCACTGATATATCCAATTTTTTCTTTCTTTATTTTATACGTATATTTATAAATATAAAACATCTTTCCACTTTATATGATGTTTTACTATATCATAAAGTCCCTGAGCTTATGGTCATTAAAAATATTGCTACATAAAAATATATATATTCATGATTCTGTGTGTAAGCTGGTCATGCTTTCAAGAGGAAATTGTTGATTGTGAAATCTTATCCACATAAACTCGAAGTAGTAGCTGTCCTTTCCAATTGCAAGCTGTTGCCCTTAAGGCTTTCTACCTTTGCTGAATAAATATTATCACAATTAATTAAAACCTCGAGCATGTGCAATGGAAGGTCTGATAAACAGCTCACAAACAAACTTTAATTGCTTTGAAGTCATATTTCTGTCAGGATATTATTTGTGTAGACGGGGTTACTTTTTTTTCTAGTTTACGTGATTCTAGTTTCTTATGTAATATTTGTCATAACTGTCCCTCTGAAGCAATGACATGTGATGTTTTAAAGAGTTCAGATATAAAATTTGATGTTGAGAACGATCAGTAATATGAGCTGAGATGAAAAGCCTGACTTGAGAAGAATAAGTAATATAAACATGCATATGTAACAGGAGAGGAGAAATGCACGGCCTGATCGGCTTTTGAGCCTGGGGTACCTCTAAACTCTAGACAGATGCTCTAACCAATTGAGCTACCTGGTCGCCAGTGATCCACCCAGCCCAGTTACAGTCCATTCCTCCCTCCTTTTTCTAAGTATTTGTCTCTGAAGACACAACTATTTACAACCCAGGTTTGGGTAACCCTTTGTCAAGTATACGTGTACATCCAGTACTTAAACCAAGGGTTGGTCAAAGGCATTATTGTAAGAGGAGGGGTAAATATGCCAGACTGGGATTCAAAACCGGGACCTCCGAAATTCTAGACAGATGCCTGTCGATTGATCCAGTTAAGTTCCCCTACATATATGGAGTTTGATTTTAAGGATCAGTTACGACTTAACATAAAGAGACTGAGGATCAGTTAACAGTGAAGATTGAGAGCTTGAATGGCATATTACCTAAATATAAGCTTACAAGTAGAATCTAACAGTAACTATGATGAGTGATGAGCACAGATTTAGAGTTTGACATTGATGAGAATAAGTAATGAGCATAAATGTTGAGTTTGATGAGACGAACAGTGATGAGTTCAGAATGAGTTTGATGAGACGAACAGTGATGAGTTCAGAATGAGTTTGATGAGATGAACAGTGATGAGTTTGACATTGAGGATGATCAGTTATAACTACTGGTGTAAGAATTAGACATCGAGATGGATCAGTTATCAGAGCTCCTGACTAGCCTCAGTTGTCACTTATATATAACTTAATCCTTTACACCTCTGTGTTACAGCATTATTGCTCCTATACGATGTCACCAACAAGGCCAGCTTCGACAATATAAGGGTAAGACTATATTTTTGTGGTCAGGTGGCACAATGGATAGCACACTTGCCTTTCACCAAGGCAGCTGGGGTTTTATTTCCTAATCGTATGTGAAAAGGTATGGGGTCACCTGCCAACCATATGGGTTTTCTCAGGGAACTCCGATTTCCTCCCACATTAACACCCCCGCATGCTTAAATCCGGGCCATCAAGAGTGATTGATATACGTTTAAACAACTTGTTTCATACTTGTTGTAAAATAAATAAAGTTGATATTTTAAGGCTATATAATGGTAGATTACAAGACAGGGAGTGTAGTGTGATGAAAACAAATTCCCAGCAAAATGCCTTGTTTTAGTATTTTTGTCCCTGAAATAGTGAGATATTATGTGTTACAAGATGTTTTGATATACATCATGTAGTAACAGTTCAGAGCCGTGGTGGCCAAGTGGTTAAGGCATCTGACAATCTGCTTCCAATAGCCCTCCAGCACTGGGTCATGGGTTTGAGGTCTATGTGGGGCTGTTGCCACGTACTGCGATAGGTGGGTGTTTTTTCTCTGGAAACCCCGTCTTTCCTCCACCACCAAAACCTGGCATGTCTTTAAATTACCAAAGTTGTTAATAGGACGTAAAACACAAACACACTAATAAGCAACAGTTAATTGTCAATGGATGGGAGTTATCTCCCCTCTTTTGTTTTCTAAATTTTATCTTTTTTACAGCAAATTTGAATCAAGTTCTATAAACCTATATTACTCACTGTTGTTGGCCTGGATGGTAGTGTGCTGGGGGTCTTAATGGGGGAAGAAAACCAGACTAACCAGAGAAAATCTACGTAGTTGGGCAGTTGACCTAAAACAAGAGATTTGATGGTTGACCTTTATGACTATGTATACGAGTTTAATCTGTACGAGAGTAAATCTGTATACAGGTAACAATTTGTCTATTTGAATTTATCTGGACAAGGGTAAATCTATATGAAAGTTTGTTTGTTATAAATCCTTTATAAGAAGAAGTATATATACATGTATAAATAATATAGGTCTATATAAATTAAAATATCAGTTAATATAAAGTACATACCGGTTTAAGTTTACATAAACTTAAACCTGTATATGACTACATGGTCATTTTCTACACATTATATGTCATTCTACTTTGCACTAAATTAGTAATGAGATAGGCATTGGTCTGGAGGCACTTTAAATCTCAAGGTCGTACAAATCCAATGTCATGGTCTTTTCCCCTTTCCTTATATGAATATCAAATAATAATAAAACTAGTAAAGATGATGAACTGATAATTATAATCACAAAGAATCTATGGAAACAATATTTTCTAGAACTAGTTATAATGTTTGATTTTGATATACCTATTCCGTCTTTTGGTATTGCAGAGTTATCTTCTCTTGTGAGCAGGTATTGATTGTTATGTCATTGGTTTGTGAGAGTAACGTCATCAATCTTTGAGAAAACGATGTAATTTTCTCACACAAACCAATGACGCAATACCTGCTCCCAAGAGAAGATAACTCTGCAATACGCAAATACGGAATACACCTGGTTTCAGATGTCACTTGACCTTTGTTAATGTTTCAGGCATGGCTAGGTGAAATCAACGAGTATGCACAGGAAGATGTTGTAATCATGTTGCTAGGCAACAAGTCTGATTCTACTGCAGACAGAGTGATACGAACAGAGGATGGAGAAAAACTAGCAAAGGTACGATATGGTGTAATAGACAGCAGTTGTGACCAAGATATTAATTAAATCCACAAATGTCTTGAATTGTTATCGTGTGCAGGTTCAGGATTAAATATATAAACATGCGGTATCCTTCTGCATGTATGTTAGAGAGCTAGCGTCACGCTACCACAATTGGTACCATTTTGACACTTTTTCAGTGATATTTAAAAATTCAGATCTTCTATCTGGAATGTTTCTTGATTCTTGACAAAGACTAGCCATGGTGGTTCATTTTCAAAAAAACAAAAATTGTAAGTAATCTGTTTTTGAAAATAGAATGCTAAACTCACAGTGAGATTTCATCTGTTTTTCGGCCATGTTTAGTACCCAAATTGGTACACCATATCACAAGCTATGAAACTTGTTTTTATTTCTGCTAGTTGATGTGTTGATTGAAACAAAATATGTTGCTTTTATAAATACGATACTGGGCTACAGTTGTATATATATACACTTTTATATTATGCGGTTATAAGGACCAAAAATCAACATTTAAACATGCTTATAATTAACCCCTTTAAAATTCTCAAAACTTATGTTGACATACATCGATTTTACTGGGTTTCTGGTGTACCAATATGGGTAGTGTACCAATTTGGGTAGTGTACCAATTGTGGTAGCGTGACGTATGGTGACTTGTGGAAAAGTCCTGCAGAATTAGGGGGTTTTCTTCAGTGTCTACTTCTGACTAAGAGGACCTTGGAGAAACCCAACTTGACCTGCTAACCCATTGGAACATTTGACACCTCAATCTCACCTTTCCTCTCTTACCTACTCTACCCTTTTGATGGTGTCTCCCCAGGCACCTGATTTCATATGAATTTGGTTATTGTGAAGATTTAAGAACCTAAACAAAACAAAAATAAATCAAGAATTCATTTACACAAACGAAACCATATAAGCCATCTAAATGCTGTCAGCATAGAATCTAGTGCATGTATTTGTTACAGATACAGCTCCACAGAGAAACAGTTGGCGGTTATCTCCTATACACCTGTTTAATTTGAGTAATTTGGCCATGTTGGTTTAAGTAACATTTCCCCTGGACTTGTGAAATAGATATCAACCATATTTGATTGAAAGCATCCTTAGGTGATAAATGAAGGGGCTAGTGTCTGGATATCGTTGCTGCCCCACACGCCACTGGGCGTAATGGGCAGTAAGTAAGTGTCTGGATAATGACATGGAAATGATTGAGATCCACACCTTTATACCATATACATTGTATACACTTGTTGGGCTTTACCAGACAAATCCTATATGCTACATTGTACCAGGCTTTGCCCTGGATCTGCCCTGTCCCTGAGGATTAAGTACCTTGGTCACGGTTGAGATCTCTGTCCTGTAACTATGTATACAATTGCTTGGTGTGAAGGGGAGGGGGGGTACATGTATGCTACCGGCATTAGCTCAAGAATTTGACCCTGCCCCAGGGTACTTTGTTTAATGGTCATACCACGGAACCCATCAAGATCCCTACCAAGCCACTATGTAAACAACTACTGTGCAGGAAGAGACAAACACATCATGCTGCCAGAACTGGCTTCAGTCTCTGACCCACCCACAGGGACTTATTCTATGGGTAATAACTTTGAAACGGTGGTACCCACCCTATAATTATAAATACAATCGCTGAACATAAGGAATCAACTGCAAACAAGCTACCATGATTGTTTCTGGGGTCCTGCCACCCATTGGGACTTTTTCCTTGTGTCATAACTTAAAAGGCGTTGACATCAACACCCTATAACCAAATTTGTGCTTATAACACTTATATCAGTTTATAAATGAACACATGAAAAAACATCTGCATGAAGGAATCACACCAGAAAAATAATGATGGATCTGATTGGACAGAAAAAGTAATCTGTATCAGTAACTTGTAAACCAGATCAATTTTTTTCTTTTTTTTTTTCAAAAAAATGTTTGAGGTAAATGTTTTTAAAGATTTTTTAACTGACTGACGATGCTTTAACAAAATTTCAGTGTTTAATCTATGTGACACTGACTACAGCTGTAAAGAAATTAATATGGAAATAATTGATAGAGGGTACTTCCCAATCTATCCGATGAATAACAGGTACACTGGAAAATATAGACAATGCTATCCACATGCAGATCAATTGTCAAATGGTTTAAAGGGAAGCAACTCTCATAGTTTAAAAAAATATCTATAACTTGCATTCATATTTTCAGGAATATAGTGTTGCCTTCATGGAGACTAGTGCTAAGACTGGTATGAACGTAGACTTAGCCTTCATGGCCGTGGCTAGGTTTGTATGAATTATTTACAAATGTGCTGTTAATTTTTAGCTCACCTGGCCCTTCGGGCCAGGTGAGCTTATGCCATGGTGCTGCGTCCCTCGTCCGTCGTCATTATTTTACTTCAAACAACTTCTTCTCAATAACCAAAAGGCCTATGATGATGATATTTGGCCAGAAGCAAACTGGGATGAAGGGCTACCAAGTTTGTTAAAATAATGACCTTCACCTATTTACAAGGTCACAGGGGTCAAATATGTTAAAATCTTTAAACAACTTCTTCTGAATAACCAAAAGTCGCTGGATGATGATATTTGGCCAGTAGCATGCTGGGATTAAGGGCTACCAAGTTTGTTCAAATGAATGACCTCATCTATTTTCAAGGTCACAGGGGTCAATTGTCTTAAAAAATCTTTAAACAACTTCTTCTCAATAACCAAAAGGCCAATTATGATGATATTTGGCCAGAAGCAAACTGGGATGAAGGGCTACCAAGTTTGTTAAATTAAATGACCTTCACTTATTTTCAAGGTCACAGGGGTCAAATATGTTAAAATCTTTAAACAACTTCTTCTGAATAACCAAAAATCGCAGGATGGTGAACTTTGGCCAGTAGCATGCTGGGATAAAGGGCTACCAAGTTTGTTCAAATGAATGACCTTCATCTATTTTCAAGGTCACAGGGGTCAATTGTCTTAAAAAATCTTTAAACAACTTCTTCTCAATAACGAAAAGGCCTAGGATAATGATATTTGGCCAGTAACATGCTAGGATGAAGGGCTACCAAGTTTGTTCAAATAAATGACATTCACTTATATTCAAGGTCACAGGGGTCAAATATGTTAAAATCTTTAAACAACTTCTTCCGAATAACCAAAAATCGCAGGATGGTGAACTTTGGCCAGTAGCATGCTGGGATAAAGGGTTACCAAGTTTGTTCAAATGAATGACCTTGACCAACTTTGCAGGTCACAGGGGTCAAATGTGTTAAAATCTTAATCTTCAAACCACTTCTTCTTAATAACCAAAAGGCCCAGGGTACTGATATTGGGCCTGTAGCATGCTGGGATGAAGGGCTACCAAGTTTTTTCAAATGAATGACCTTGACCCACTTTCAACCTAATGTCCTTGTTCCACATTCAAGGACACAGGCTTCGTGTTTAAATCTTTTAATAGGTTCTTGTGAATCAAACACTGATATTCTGCCTGTAGCTGTATTTTAGTCCACTTTTAAGATTACAAGTGTGAGATTAATACCAGGTGAGCGATGCAGGCCCATTGGGCCTCTTGTTTTCTTTAGTGACGATGTATAGTATATATAGGATAATGTACTTTCTGCATTTTACCTTTAAATGAGGGCTCTATAAGCTGCTTTTCCCATCCCTCTAAAATTGTATGTACTGTATGTTAAAAAAAATGCTTAATGAATAAATGTTAGCAGTATCCTACAGTTATATTGAATACTTGATATTTCGATTGAAACCTTAATATGTTATCGTCGCCAAAATCAGGCAATGAGTTCAAATGTTCATGAGATACTTTTTTTGTGAAGTCTCAATGTGCCTTAAATATTATAAAGACAATATATGATTTTGAAGATATTTTTGAATAATTGCAGGGATTTAAAAATGAAAAAGACTCGAAAACCAACCGAGCCAAAATTCAATGTGGCAGACTATGTGAACCAGGAGAAAAAGACGGGGGGCTGTTGTAGCTAGTCCAACACGTTGGAATAGCCAGAAGAATCCCGAGGGACAACTGTATGCTGGAACAGACAAATAAATCCCATGGGACTACTATTGGAGCAGCCAGAGGATTCCTGTGGAACAGACAGAATGTCCAGAGGAACTATTAGCTGCAGTAAATATTCTTAAAGGGAGACTACCCAGTTGGACAATCTCAATATTTGTCTGCAGAATATAAGTTCCTTCGTTTGTTAATACATATTTCATAGTTTTGGTTTTTACAAATTTTTGAATATTTTATTATATAAAACAAGATTTGGGGTCTTTATCATTTATGATATATTTTGCGTTTCCTTGATTTCCATTAACTCTTTTTAATAACATACTTATAAATTACATACAAGAATTTTTTTTGGTAAACACTCGTTTTCATCTCTGGTTTTCTGATTAAAAAGTGAGGGTTTCTTTCGTGAAATTACCTGTAAAATATGGCACACACCTGTTCAGAAGTAGATCCATTTCATTGTACGTATTTATATTAATTGTAATATTTTGAACTGTATTTATTTCATAGATATTGTTGATCCAGTTCACTTCTGAAAAGTGTGAAGTTTTCAAAAACAATTTTAATTTTGGCAGGTGGTTTTTTTCATTTATAATTCACAGGAATCCGTCATGAGGGTGATTGTTTAAACATGGTTTACAAAATTTAGTTTATACATTGTGAATGGCAAAACTAACCATTGAACGAATATGGTTTAAGTACCAATCTTCGAAGGGTGAATATTTCTGTCAAGTATAATATGTTCAATACTCAATAAATTCATTCAATATTCCACTAAATTTCATGAAGATTCTTTAGAAAATAGAGGTTATATCGGTTCATTTCTATTCAAAACAGTTTAGAAATATGTGAAAATTTAGATATAATGTAGATGTTGATTTGATAGAAATAATTATGAACCTAAATGGATGTAAAAATTCAGCAGCTACTCCTCGATCTGAGATTTACCAGTTATTGACATTTACTTGCCAAACATTCAAATTTTTTATCTTGTGCAAATATATATTTCAATTTGAATTTTTTTTCAGAACTGCGAAGTCTATAGTTATAATGTTTCAATTGTAAATTGTATATTTATAATCTTCTGTTGATTAAATATTTACATGAATGTCTAGGCGTGTAAGTAAGATTAGTTTGTAGTTGCTGTCCATCTGTATAAATGATGGCAGGAAGTTGGTTTCTTTGAGTCAATCATTCTAGAAATGAATGATATGTGGGTGAAAGTGTCTTTTTATTTGTAACATATTTACTATGACTTGATGAAACATATGTGGTTACATTAAGGCACCTGTCCCCTCCTAAAGAGAAAGATATTTATGTTAGAGCTTTATTTCCATGACAACTTGCTGCTTAAACTTGCCACAGAGGCCATTCTGTGTTTCATTCAATGGCACCTTACCACTGCAGAAACCTGAAACTAAGTATGAGGAACTGTTTTTTTCTGGCATGACTGTAGTTTTTATAAATCATTACTAATAAGAAAACCATATGGACTTTGATGGAAAAACAATATATAACAGTGTTCTGAGTGTAAAAATACAGCAGGGCTGGACCGGAATTCGAACCATTGACCTCAAGTTGTTATTCTGTTGCTCTTACTGACTGAGCTTCCGTTCAGCAGAACTGTTTTTGCCCAACTGCTGTATAGATATATCTAAAAACGGAAATAAGGGGAGGTTACTCTACATACAAAAAACAAGAGTGCAGTGCTACATGAATCCTATAGCCTATACCATACCATCTTCGCTAGCCAAGGTTTATGATACGGTATGATCTTGTCTTCCTACTCATATCGACCTGGATCCTAACCCTTGGCTAGCAAAGATGATACTAACCTTGTACCCAGTATATTCAGCTCTGTCACTGATTGGTCAATGTTAAGACCTATCTACTGTCACAAGGTGAAACTAATTGCATGGAGCTAAGCTTTAATATTGCCAGTCAATAGTTTGTAATCTCGTAGGAATTTTGTTGTTTGTTTTCATTGAAATTTTCAAAGCTTGTTTTCTGATATTTGTCACTCACAAGATCTATTTTTTGTACACTTTGTTGACAAAAATTTGTGTGTGCTTTAATGTGTTAACTTGTTGCATTGAATATGGCAACAATTTCTACTTGTTCAACTTAAACTGTACATTCACTTTATTCAACACACAGGTATTACAAGATACTAAATTATCAATACTTATATACATGTACTAGTATTATACCCACACATATGATGCATAAGGTTTCACAATTTTCAACTTCTTTATTAAATTAAATTTTATCAGATTTAAATAAATAGTTTTATTTTTATCAAATGGTACAAAACATTATTTTTGCAGATTTATTTGTGAACCAGTACATCACTCATGCATCAACTTTGGGATTTTGTTTTCCACATTTTTCATGTGATGATATTTACATAATTGAAAATCATGATGGTAATTTATGAACATGGAAAAAAGATGGCCACATCCAATGATAATGGTTTTATAGAGGTAAATATTCTTTCGAAAATTGGAGTTTTGTGTACAACACATGCTCAATATTCACGGAAAATCTTCATATAATCTCAAGGGAAGTTGCATCAAAAAGTTTATTTCTCCATGAAGTATTGAGTTGGTAACCTGGTAAATTAAATATCAGTACCACAGATTTGCGGGTATCTAAAATCATTTGTCCATATACGGGTATTTTTTTTTATTAAATCCAAGAAATCCATGTTATGTCCGGGGAAAATATGTCATCATGAATTTAGAAAATTACATTGCCAACAATACATTAAGTTTCGTACATTGTAGTGTTATAAATAATATTATGAAGCTTTATTATCTTTCAAAATCATCAGGTTTTATGAGTCTGACATCAGTCAAATTCAATGGTTGCTGTCTATACATACTAACCCTTTCACCACTGTAGACCATAATGGACTCATCCAGATCAATGTATGGTACAGTCTACTAAAGTCACCTAGTGGTGAAAGGGCTTAAATTATAGCTGTAGTGACTGATATCGTTTATCATTGTGCTCAAAGTGTGACACTGCTGTGGATTGGGCGATTCCAATCGTCACCACAAGAGGTTGTATGCTGGATCTTTAACTGGCTACAACATTTCTATTTTTCTCTGCGTTACACCTGGTCTATCGTTAACACTTATAAATATGTAACACTTGTGCATTCCTTCCCGATAGTAGTTAATCCCGTGTTGACAGACATTTATAAACATTCTTTTTTTTCTGGTTCATAATTCTTAACCTGTCAAGCTTGACAGAATGTCACAGTAATTGGATTTTCAAATGGTTGTTTCTGTATTACTGAATGACCATATTCGCCATAATCAGCGCCCCTTTAATCCAGCTCTGCCATAGAGCATTTAACGTTAGTCAGGATGTCAAAAAAAATTCTCTCATTACAATATTTTGAACAATTCAGATAGTTAATGAATTTCTAAAATACTCTTTAAAACAAACCTTCATACCTAATGCTTATACTCTTAATGATCATGATTAAATTAATTCCATTTCCCACTTTGTATTCATTTTGACTCTGTGAGTGCATTGACCGTTTGAAATTCTCTATAAGAAAACTGTAAGAGAGTACCCATCTTAAGACACTTTCAGTTAGTCCAGATGTAACAGTGTAGCGGGTGCCATGTGATGTATGGGGATATTATTGCTCTCTAAGATTCAGCGATAGCCAACTTTAATGTGTTTTATACACGTGTATTGTAGGTTTCTGTTTTCACAGTTCATAGACAATGTATATGGTACTACTTTCTCAGGTTTTCCTCATATTCTGAATAGATATTTCGTTTATTGAGCGGGACCTTAATATAATTTCATGTGAAATAATAGATAACAATACGTTCCAGTACAGAAATTAGTGTCCGAGAGTGATCATTAAAGAAAAGATTTGTTAAATATTTTATTATTAAAAAAATTCCAAGTATTACTCAACAGGTGCTGGACACACAAAATATATAATGTATATTAATGTATATTAAAATATATAATATGTTTATAAACATTGAATCATGTATACATACATATTTTGTATGCCTAGCACCTGTGTTTGATTCCGTCTCTGTGATTCCGTTATTGATCTGTACAATGTACACTTCAGATAACAGTTCCATATGTAGCATGTATTTTGTTTTTCTTTGTAACTTGTTCCAGTCTGTTACCTGGTAATTGTTACTTTAGTAACTTTTTCCAGTCTATTACTTGGTAACCATTCTAGTGTTCCATGGTAACTGTTCTAATGTTACTTAGTAACTTGTTCCAGTCTGTTACCTAGTAACCATTCTAGTGTTCCATGGTAACTGTTCTAGTGTTACTTTAGTAACTTGTTCCAGTCTGTTACCTGGAAAATGTTCTAATGTTACTTGAGTAACTTTTTTTCTGTCCGTTATCTGGTAACCATTCTAATGTTCCATGGTAACTGTTCTAGTGTTTCATGGTAACTGTTCTAGTGTTACTTTAGTAACTTGTTTCAGTCTGTTACCTGGAAAATGTTCTAATGTTACTTGAGTAACTTTTTTCAGTCCGTTATCTGGTAACCATTCTAATGTTCCATGGTAACTGTGCTAATGTTACTTTTGTAATTTGTTCCAGTCTTGTAATCATTTTGGGATGACTTTGTCCCTTATTTTCAGCTAACTGATACATATATTAATACTAGCTGACTAGAAGTATATAATGGTTGTGAATATTGTAATGAATTAGTATTTTATGTGATCTAAATTTTTTATCATTTCTATAATATGTATCCAGCTCCATAGTGTTATAATCCATACTTTCTAAAGTCGGAGTAGGGGGGTTTCTAAATCAAACAGGGTGAGATGGGGGTTTCTAAACTATATGCGGGTCTTGTCCAAATTTTAGTTAGCAGATAATGATCTTAACCTATTGGTCCAAATATCTAAGTGTTTATGGTGGTTTTGTCAGTAATTCTCGTCTTACTGTTTACAATTCAAACATCTGCTGTGCAATATATTTTACTAATAAAAAACAATATTACACATATTCTTATTTTCAGAATATTTTTTCAACACCAACCTGCATTAAAGTCAATTTTCTTGAATTCTTTTGTTACTTATGTTAATAGTATTGTTCTGTCTTCAAGATGTTAAAATAGTGTAGTAAACTTCATTTGAAGACTAGTTTAAGTTAAAATCTTTGTCATTTAATGTAATTTGATTTTCTACGTAACTAAAAGATTTATCATTGTTTTGTATGGCTTCAGTTTTCATAACCAAATGATATTAGTGTCAATACACTGTAAAGGACTGGGCCTTGGCAGTGACTCTTGTGGTATACAAGATTTCCGTTATCTAACACAGCATCACTGTACATAAGTATTCAAGTATGCTGTTTCGATACACTATATATGAACTACCTTGTACCACAGTATTGATATCATACGATGACATCCAGGATATCCACAGGTGCTCCTTTGAAATCCAGGTGTACTGTAACAAGTAAAAACAACCCAATTTCAAAAATAAAAGTCTATGTACATTTTTTGACAATGAAATTTGTTATTGATGTACCTGGTAGTTAATACATAGATAACTTCATCGGTAACAGTGCTCGTTGAGTATTTCTCCCGAGTCTAAATGTTAGTTGAAGGTATATTATGTTCTATAGGACCGTACCAGTGACATACTATCACACTGCCAAGGCACAGTCCGATGTTTTGAGGTTGACTATATACCTAGTAATGGGTTAACGATGAGGTATGAAATGCTAATTAGGTTGTATTCATTGTTTGTCTTGAGGACAAGTTCAGCTGAGAGACAGATCTGAGAATGCATATGTTGATATGATAAAATTGTTGAAAATAAACTGTACATTGCAGGATCAACCGAGTTTTATCTTTTTTCTTTCTCATTTTCTTTGTTTTTATTTCTTGATTATATTTTCTTGATTTACACTGAATTTTAGTTAAACTTACATTACTGAACACACTGGCAATATTTTTGAACAACTGGGTATCTCCGAGATACAATCTTACCCAACTCGTGGAGTAACTGATCATGATATGAAAAAACAACAAACAAAACATCTAAACATTTCAGAATTGTATTGCCCTGATCTGTTGGTAACAAAAAGGCACATTTGGTTATATTGGAATGATGTGCAGTCTTGCATCCATACATACAGCACATGGAATAACGGGCACCTTGGCCCTAAAACACATTCTTTGTAGTAATACAATATTGGTCAGTTTTAATTTTCTATAAAACTTTCATAAACAGCTACTTTCATACTAATTATTATACATTTTTGTACCACAAAATTGTAACTTAAATGAGATTTCTTCCTAGGTCGTCACACAGGACTAAATGAGTGAGATTGGCACTTTGAAGACCACAACATCTAGTACATGGTATGTGTAGGCACAGGAAACTAGCATGATCCCTACCTCCCCTAAAGGTTCTATATAATATATCATGCAAGACTGATCTATCAACAAGGAGCAGTTAGCACAGCACATGTACATATAACAGTAATTTATGTTCATACTCCAAGGTGTTTAATTGAAACATAACTAAAACTTCTTCACAATTCTTTCTGATAAGTAGTTAACATCATACTTCAAGGCGACAGTTGACAACAGAACTAACATTAAATAATGTACGTCAAGGCAATTTTTGACTAGATCACTAATACTCTATCTAATTCAGATTCCCTAACATCATACTTGTATTGTTATATTTATCTCTAATATGACTTAAGACATAGGATGACTAGCTCGATCACTACTTTTGTTCACTTAATGTGATAGTTCAGACATAGGATGACTAGTTAGATCACTACTTTTGTTCACTTAATGTCATAGTTCAGACATAGGATGACTAGTTAGACCACTACTTTTGTTCACTTAATGTCATAGTTCAGGCATAGGATGACTAGTTAGACCACTACTTCTGTTCACTTAATGTCATAGTTCAGGCATAGGATGACTAGTTAGACCACTACTTTTGTTCACTTAATGTCATAGTTCAGGCATAGGATGACTAGTTAGATCACTACTTTTGTTCACTTAATGTCATAGTTCAGGCATAGGATGACTAGTTAGATTACTTATACTTCGTAAAAGAACTTACTTACATTCCTGAAAGCTCATTGTTAACTAAATCACAAATTAATGAAACTTAAAAGAAAATTGCTCAACATGATCATAGATTAAGACATTGGTTGACTAGATCACTAATACAACTTTAATGAAAGATTGCCTAACGTCATAATTTAGGCATTAACTGACTAGATTACCGATATAACTTAAAACATAATTGCATAATGTCATACTTCAGGAGTTGGCTGACTAGATCAAATAAACCTCCTTAAAAAATGACTGCCAAATGTCCTACTTGAAGGCCTTACGTCATTCCTCCAGGCAATTGGTGACTAAATCAGTAATACTACCAACAGTACAGTGTAGTTTTTAGACTAAGAGGGTATTTACATTGTGACAAAAGAGAACCTACTTTCCTTGCATGTCCACACATTTCCAAAACTCCTCGGAGTCAGATCAGTTTAAGCAAAGAGTTGACTATAATATATTCCAGACTATAACAAATCATCACAGAACTTTAACTTGTCTTTAACCCTTTCACCCCTAATTAACTTTAGTAGACTCTACTATGCATTGATCTGGTTTAGTCCATTATGGTCTACAGTGGTGAAAGGGTTAACCTAAAAAGTATATCTGGGTATAAACATAGCACTGAGGTACAGATTACTGACAGAACTTCGCCTTTCAAGGATCTCCGCACACCACTGCCAAAAACTGGCTACTGTACTACGATAGTATGAATTGATAACTTGCTTTTCCCAGTATGACCAAACTCTGATAAACCATCCCTGACAAGAGCACAAAACCTTGCAGAGTTTTCATGACAAAAAATAAAGATGAGTTCATATATGAAAAAATAGTAATAATGAATTTTATGACAAAATAACAACGATGTAAAAAATGATAATATACAATAATGGTGCTAGACTGGGATTCAAAACCTGAACCTCCGATAAATATTCCGTCATTCTTCACCAACAGAGCTACCTAGTCAACAAAAGTATTCAGGCCTAGATGCTTTACTGTTATATATAAAACAAAACAAAAGAGACTAGTGTTTTACCTGTGGTGGGACAGGGATCTTTAGGACAACTTAAACACTACATTTGTATGAGCCGATTAGAAAAACTCTCATCTACAGGGACACTTTCAAATGATTTACATTACCTGTACAACAAATATTAAGATTCCAAACCAGAGGGAAGTCGACTTGTAAGACTTGGAGTCACTTCTACTGACATTTGCAGGTTCACATCAGGTTCACATCAACTGAAAAGCACTATTATATGACCTATGGTAAACTTACTTATTCCAGACTTCAATGTAAAATGTTTTGTGAGCACTAGAGATCATTGGTTATAATGGTAATAATCATTTACAGTTTTGAAATTGTACAACAACTTTTCTATAATAAACAAAATTGTATATGTCTAGCACATAAAAAACAACATAATCTGCATAGTGTTATCTTCTGGAACAAGAATAATAAAATATGTTCTTTCTGAATACAGATTTCAGCTACTATTTATGGACAATATACAAAACTTTAAAAAAAACACTTGATATTAAAATGTTACAAAACACAACCGGAGATTCAGTTTATCACAGGATTGGTATCACAGCTGGAGGAGAGAAAGGGTAACGTCCAAGGCGTGGGAGACCAGACTCTGAAGGCGATGGTGGAGTTCTGCTGACTTCATGTGACAGGACAAGTGATGTAGGAAGGTGATGAACTTCTCCCACTGGTGAAACTGGTCCTTCAGTGTAGCCGAGTCTAGGATGAGGGCAGAACAGCTCGCCTCGACCACCCTACAGAAGGAGTCGCCTTGTTCAGTGTCCACTTCTCTCTATAAATGAAAGGGCCACTTAATGAAAAATATATTTTTATGGACAATTTTCCTTAATTTACTGCATATTTGGTTCGCGCAAAACACTCTTAAAGTATACCAATGACCATTGATGTTATATCTGAGGACATTAAATCCTAAACAAACAAACACAGCGTGATATAGCAAATGGTGCTATGTTGTTCAACACAGCATGTTATAGCAAATGGTGCTATATTGTTCAACACAATATATTATAGCAAATGATGCTATGTTGTTCAACACAATATATTATAGCAAATGGTGCTATGTTGTTCAACACAGCATGTTATAGCAAATGGTGCTATGTTGTTCAACACATCGTGTTATAGCAAATGGTGCTATATTGGTCAAAACAATATATTATAGCATATGGTGCTATGTTGTTCAACACAGCATGTTATAGCAAATGGTGCTATGTTGTTCAACACTGTATGTTATAACAAATGGTGCTATATTGTCCTTCAACATGCATAGCTATTGCTTAAAAATCTAATAATTCCCAGCAGATCAATTTGTCAGCAGCAGCAATGCCTTTTTCAATATGATCGAGCATCATTTGTTATTCATAACTTATTTTTCACATTTTAATAGAGCAAATACGGTTTATTTTGTTAATTCATTCCCCTACAATCAGTTTGTGAAGATCTTGGAACAGTTGCATCCCAATAGAGGTCACATGACTAAATTGTGTTACAGTGTCACAAGTTACACATACTGTATTCTCAATGCAATGGGAGTATGGCAGAGCAAATGTATGTATAAAGCACACAAATATCACACATATACTTCTTCATTACCACCCCTGTTATACCCCCACCCCACCCCACCCCACCAACCCTCCTACAACAAGGGGATATATACTGGAAGCAGTATTTGCCTGTTTGTAAGCAAAATTTTGTATCAAACAGCAATTCTTCAGCTTCAAAAATTGATATCCTTCAAAATTTTGTATTTGACATACCCCATAACTGAGGTACTGCCGTCTACAAGGGGCCCACATACACACATATGGTTGACTAGGGGTATTCCGATTGGCCATTGGCTTATAGTTATGGTTTCATGATTAAAATTAATAATAACTTACCAAATAAAAAAAAAACCAACAACAACAGTCAAATGTTAAAACTTAAAATCTGATATTTTCCCCATGATACAATCAACTTTCTGATCCTTTATAACTGTATGGTTGAGTACAGGTGTGTGACAGGTACATTAGACAGGACGCTATATCAAATGTTGTATATTATTATTATTATTATTATCACAATTGACTTACCTGTATGAGACAGGAACAGGTAAAAGCAGTCTTCTCCTCGACACCCTCGTTCTTCCACACCTGGACCAACAGCATTCTCAGCACACTCCTCCTTTCCTTCTCAGACAGGGAAGACATGTCTGCAACAAGAAATTAAGATGGTTAGTATTCATGAATATCATGGTACAGCACAACTTCAGCGTAAAAAAACATTTTCAGCAATTGTAGTTACCTGAATATGTACTGGTAACACACCTTCACATTTGTCCTATCCATAATATTTTGCCTGAGTTTTTTTATACAAATGTATTTGAATTTTACGTGTGTTGATATAAGGAGTACTTTTACAATATTTACCATGATTTTATTTATCATATCAGGCCACCAAACACAGAATTGTGCTATGTACAAAATTCACATATATTTGGCTTTTCTTGCAACATCTCCTAGGATAGCTTACTTTTCACATCATTATCCAAAATCTCACTTTAGGATATATATATATTCAGCTATCATACATATTGTAATCTACTATTTGGAAACTACTTTAAATCAAAGGAATCTGTATAGACATAGCTACATAGTCTGAATTTCTGAGAACTGATTTGAGATATTGACCGGTGGTGTCTAAACTATGTCAATACTAACCAGTGTAAGCCTTAGCAAGGAGCTTCCGAAGACTTCCTGGATACTGGGCAACATCACTGGTAAACCTTGCGTCAGAACTGTCCTCAACACAGGGGTCCAGAGTTAGAGATCCGATACCAGAGTCCCCGGAGATATGACGAAGCTTGCCTGATCTGGTAAATGTCACAGTTCGCTCTTCTGGTTCATCAATGACAGAAATGGTCTCCAAGGGCTCCTGTTCATCAAAACGAGTATTATTATATCTTAAGCTCTTAGACTGAAAAAACCCAGACTGCTCACTATTGCAATTTAAAATTGGTTTACATATTTTCATAAGAATTCCATCTGAACAACTCAGATCCAGATTATGTAAAGGTTGGATTTGCAATGATTTCATGAAAGATACTTGAACATCTGGAAGACACTTGTTTTACAACAGACTTTTTCTCTTGACCCACATATACTGGAATATCGGCAGATGTTCAAATTTAAAAAGAAAAAGAAAAAATATCCCAAACCGCAGAGTAACGAAAACCTCCACCTTAAAAGTCAGAAAGGATTTTAGTTGAAGATGCAGAAATGAAGTACATAGATGATAAATTTAAACAGGCCACAGTAAAATATGCACTATATTATCCACTAATCTTGTGTACAATGTGATGAAACAGTACTATTGTAGTGTGATGACATGTAATTGCGACGTAATGATATCGATGTTGTCCTTTTGAAATAAACCTGAAGAGCCCTGTGAAGTGTGAAAGCTGGTAGTTTTCTAGTTTTTCCTTAGATCAGATTGTTTGTAACACCATAAGTGTTGATATTAAACTGTACCTTGAAACTGACATGCCTCTTTTTCCGGGAGATATGAGCTGGTTTGAGTAATGAGACTTGATGTTGCTCGCATGCAGTATCCTCGTCTTGTGTGTTGGAGATCTGTACACTCAATGAACGCTGTTCCTCAAGTAGACCATCAATGTTACGTTTCGCTGAAAATGAAAAAGCTGGTATTAACAATTATGTTACCAATTTAGATTTTTTTCTTTGTTTTTTTTCTTACACTGACAATATCTTTAAAAAGATTTAAAAAACTGTTTAACAAAAATTATTTCCAGAACAAGCCAAAGCAAATTTTTCATAAATGCCTTTTTGTCTTCATATTAATTCACAGAATGAAATCAGAAAATACTTGTATAATTTGTAAAATAGAGTACAATTAATCAGAAAAGACATGCACAATGCAGTCGTCTATATTTCTATAACTTAACAATTGAAATTGTTCTGATATTCAAATTTCTGGATCAATAATTAGAATTCTGATCTTAAAAGTTTCATAGAAATAGTAATTGATCAGTTTAAATAAGATCTACATATATAGCAGCATAAATGTACAAAACAAGAGGCTCTGGATCCTATATTACCACTGTTACATTGTAGGATCGATATATATTTAGGATTCCTAAATGGTCACACGAGAATAGTCTAAGTGCTGCAGTCATTTAGAGTTTTATGGTTTTAAATCTGAGAACATTTGTACCAAGTTTGGAATCAGTAGGTACAGCACTTGACTTCTTGAGATGAATTCGAAGATGTCTCAGCCAATCAAAGGGCATGCACAACAATTTGGAATTTTGGATCACCCGAAAATAAAAACTCATTGCCGGACCCTCAAAAGAAACATTTGTACCAAGTTTTATTTGGATTCAATAGCAGTAGCAGATTCTGACAAGAAGTCAAAAATGTTTTAGCCAAAATCAGAGGCCAGACATTCATTCTGAATTGTAGATCGACCCATAAAGTATAAACACTTTGCTAAAACTGCATAAAGAACATTAATGTATCAAAAGGAAATAGCTGCAGCAGTTCTAGAAGTCGAAAAAGTCTCAGCCAATCAGAGCCCAGGGTGGCAATATTAGATTTCTGATTGACCCAAAAAAGAATGACAATGACACATGACAATGGATCGTAATAGATAAATTGAGCCTTCAGCTCATGAGGTTATATTACTAGGCCTAAAAATGTACATGGTTTTATTATATTTGTATAAATTAGATTTAATTACCATATCCTTCTTTTTGAAATCATCAAATCAAGCATGAAAAAACATTCGTTTATTTCTTTCTTTGAAAAATATGATGTTTTTCTATTTGCAGACTTGGCATTTGCTGCAACTTGTATCTGACTTACCAGGTATCACGTAGTGTTGTTTCTCTGGTCTAGTCCTGGGGCGTTTGCTGATTACTGTGGCCATGGCTAGTGTCTGATATTGATCTGTATGGGCAAAAATATAAAATGCAATTATAATTACTTGTATCAAGTTTTTATAAAGTGGCATTATATATATTGTTATCTGAACATTTGATACAAAATGTCCTGAGCACCCGAATCACTCACCTGAATAAATAAAATATCATGACAATATGTTCTTATTAAAAGCAATACTGCAGAATTCAGAGGAACTGTTTTTAATTATTTTTGACACAGTTTACCCTTTTGACCTTGAAAGCAGGTCAAGATAACTAATTTGTATAATCTACACTCCATCCTAGCATGCTACCGGATTAGCAGGATCACCCTGGATGTTTTGGTTATTCAGAAGAAGTTGTTGTAATGTTTTAACACATTTGACACTGAAAGTAGATCAAGGTCATGCATAAGAANTTCAGATTAGCAGGATCACCCTGGATGTTTTGGTTATTCAGATTAGCAGGATCACCCTGGATGTTTTGGTTATTCAGATTAGCAGGATCACCCTGGATGTTTTGGTTATTCAGATTAGCAGGATCACCCTAGATGTTTTGGTTATTCAGATTAACAGGATCACCCTGGATGTTTGGGTTATTCAGATTA